AACTCTACGCCTCTCTAATGAATGTAAGCCTAAGCTTTTCAGTCTTTCTTCATATGGAAGGTTTCTAATATTATGGATCATTTTTGTCATTCTTCTTTGTACTCTCTCCAAAGAATCTATGTCCATTCTATAATAAGGACACTAGAACTGAACCGCATAATCCATGTGTGGCCTCACTAATGCTAGGTAAAGTTTCAAGATAACGTCAGCAGTTCTGTTACTCACAGACCTAGATATGAACCCAAGAATCCTGTTTGCCTTGTTGCGAACGCTAATACATTGTTTTCTAGGTTTCAAGTCGTTGCTAACAAATACACCTAGATCTTTTTCATAAACTGAGTTTTCTATTTCCGTGTTACCTAGTTTATACTTAACGTTTGTATTCGTCTTCCCTATCTGTAGTACCTTGCATTTATCAGTATTAAAATTCATTTGCCAGTCTACTGACCACTCATGTAAGGTATCTAGATCTCTTTGAAGGTGTTCAAAGTCACTGTCTGAATTTATCACTCTCCCCATTTTGGTATCATCTGCAAATTTACTAATCCTACTAGTTATGCCTAAATCAAGATCATTAATGAATATAACAAACAGCAGAGGGCCTAATACAGATCCCTGGGGAACTCCGCTTTTGACCGCACCCCATTCTGACTTTAATCCATTTATGCTGACTCTTTGTTTCCTACCAGTTAACCATGACCTAATCCATTTTAATACTGATCCACCTATTCCATGTGCTTCTACCTTCCTTATCAATCTCTCATGAGGGACTCTATCGAATGCTTTACTGAAATCTAAATATGTTATATCATATGACTTATCATTATCTACCGCTTCATATACTTCTGAGAAAAAGCTAACAAATTTGTGAGACAAGAACGTCCCTGGGTGAACCCGTGCTGAGAAGAATGAATTAAGTTGAATGTTTCAAGGTGGCTTCTGATTTTTGTAGCAATAATTGACTCTAGCAACTTGCCTATGATTGACGTGAGACTAATGGGACGGTAATTTGATGCTATTGATTTATCACTCTTTTTGAAAATCGGAACTACATTTGCAAGTTTCCAAGCTTCTGGCACTAGGCCCGATTCTAATGACTTATTAAATAAAACTGCTAATGGATTACTCAACTCATCTCTACATTCTTTTAATATTCTAGCATATACCTCGTCTGGACCAGGCGATTTATGAGGCTTCAGTTTGTTAATTACTTTAAGCACATCGTTACTAGTAATATTGATATTCATCAACATATTTTCTATACTTTCTATTTGTTGCGTTGTTCCTTATGTTGTTTCTTAATTTTTCGAGTTAATACTTACTTGATTGTTGCTGTTTTGACTCGATCGTGTTGAAATTTGGCGGGAAAACAATTAGATCGAACACATGCAAGGAAATACTCGTCATTGTGTCTATTTTTTAATTTCAAGTCATAAGGAGGAAGAATATATTTACAGAGATAGTGTTCTTTAAAGCTGGGTGGGGACGACCCAAAAAATACAACTTGTTCTTGTCTGCCATTGGTCCGCCACCAGCCCCATGATTAATAGAAACAACTTAGATATTATTCTGATAGTTTATTCTTAAACTCACGTGATATAAGACAGGTGGAGCACGTATAAACTTGGTCACACAATTTAAAATACCAATAACACCTGCAAAAGAGCTTCACATGGACACTGTATCACCTAAAAATGGAGAGAAAATTGTGTACATAGTTTAAGTTCACTTTTTAATATACTAATTCACCTAATGTTTACACCGGGGTTATCAGGAGGCACGTGACCCTCCAGAACTCACAACAAAGTTAATATTCCCGCAGGACGAGACACCAGGAAACACACTTATTCATATGATACACATCACTCATATGTATACAACAATACTCTAGTGTTAGTTGGACACAATAAGCCATGGCACTTGTACAGGAATTAATAAACCACAAAACAATATTAGAAAAGATAATATGAAGGACCAAGAATATATTGTTTATTTACAAGTGATAACAATGTCCAACATTGTGCAAACAATGGTTGGGCATTCATTGATAGCTGGCAACGCTTCTATGGCAACGACTACCTGTACAGTCGCGAAGGAGTACACTTGTCTCGTGAGGGGGCAAAGACGTTGTCTGCATCCCCGGAGCGTGAAATTGTCACTCCGAAGGGGGGGGGAGGGGGTTCGCCAGTAGAGAGAGGTCGGGGAAAGTGGGAGTCAAAAAACAAGCTGGTCCTGGGAAGTAAAATTAGTTGCTCAGGACAAGGGGTAAAACAGGACCAGGGAAGGGTAGGTTTAAATGTATATTATACAAACAGTAGGGGCGTTAGAAATAAGACTTCCTGAGAGCGGTTGTATGTACCGAGAATGTAGACGTCATAGCAATCACCGAAACTTGGATGAATCTGGCGAGCAAAATTTTTTTAACAGACTACCACATGGAAGGGTACAACCTTTTTCACAAGGACAGGGAAGGTAGGAAGGGGGGAGGGGTCGCACTCTTCGTCAAGGATACATTAAAATGTTGTACTAATAATTCAATAAAGGGTGAAATAGGAACCGAGTCTGTGTGGGTAGAAATCATGGAAGGAAGAGAAAAACTAATTATGGGAGTGATTTACAGGCCCCCAAGTCTTGGCAAAGAAGCAGCTCAGCCCATATGGCAGGAAATGAGTAGGGCAGCAAAATATAACAACATATGCATTATGGGGGATTTCAACTTCAGAAATATTGACTGGGACAACATTGTAGGTGACTATGAATCTGAAGACTTCCTAGATGCAGTACAGGACAATTTTTTGAAGAAAATATTATCAGAGATATCACAGTAGGGGAAGAACTAGGTAACAGTGATCACAGAGAAATCAGGTTCACCCTAAATTGGGAAACGAAAAACAATGACAATATGGTCAGAGTCCCAAACTTTCGGTTGGCGGATTATCAGGGGTTAAGAAGGTACCTAGGTGAGGTCACCTGGGAACAGTCACGTCAGTCCCCAGTAGGAAGGGGTGAGGTCATAGATGACACAACAATTGATCATGACTATAATATATCCACTAGTATACTACATAAAGCACAAGAACAAAATATACCATACAGAAAAATTAGGTCAAATAAGAATGAGCCAAGGTGGATGGCCAGAAAACTTAAACATGACATAGGAATAAAGAAAGGAATATATAAGAAATTAAAGGGAGGGGAGGAACAGCTCAGAAAAAGGTATAATGAACTATCTAGGAATGTTAAGAAAAATGTAAGGAAAGCAAAGAGAGACTATGAAATCAAAATAGCAAGAGAATCCAAGGCGAATCCCAAGGGATTTTTCCAGGTATATAGGACAAAGGTCAAGGACAAAGTTGGGCCTTTAAAGTCAGGGAGGGGAGAAGTGATAAATGGCAGTGTAGAAATAAGCAAAGCATTGAACAGCTACTTCTTATCAGTTTTCACAGAAGAAATTTGAGATGAAATTCCAGAGGTGGAACTGATATTTAAGGGAAAGGAAGAAGAGAAATTAAAGAATATCACTATCAGAAAAGAGGATGTTCTTAAGAAGATAAATAAACTAAAGAAAACAAAATCCCCAGGGCCAGATGAAATTTTCCCTCGAGTCTTGAAAGAGTGTAGTGAACAGATTAGCGGACCCCTCGTAAACTTATTTACAAAATCATTAGACACTGGAGTTGTGCCAGACTTGTGGAAACAGGCAAATGTAGAACCCATATTCAAAAAGGGAGACAGAGCATCAGCGTCAAATTACCGGCCGATCAGTTTGACGTCAGTAGTGGGAAATTTTTTGAATCAATTATAGCAGATAGCATCCGATCGCATCTAGAGAAAAGCAAATTAATCTACGACTCTCAACATGGGTTTTCAAAGGGAAAATCTTGTCTAAAAAATCTGCTAACGTTTTTTAGGAAAGTCTTCGAGGTAGTAGATAATGACGAAAATTACGATGTTAATTACTTAGACTTTAGCAAAGCATTTGACAGAGTACAGCATCAGAGGCTTCTGAGAAAAATTAAGGCTCATGGTATCGAGGGGAAAGTTTTAAATTGGATAAAATCATGGCTCACCGATAGAACGCAGAGGGTCAGCATAGATGGTGTTAAATCTGAGTGGGGCCGTGTAACCAGTGAGGTTCCCCAGGGGTCAGTACTAGGCCCACTCTTGTTCATAATCTACATACACGATCTAGATACTGGGATCAGCAGTGACATAAGCAAGTTTGCGGATGACACCAAAATAGGGCGGCAAATTAATTCAGGGCAGGATACAAATGCATTACAGGAGGATCTAAATAAACTGCAGGGGTGGTCTGGAAAATGGCAAATGAAATTCAACATCAGCAAGTGCAGCGTACTAAATATTGGAAGAACAAATACTTATAATGTATACAGCCTTAACAACATCAACCTAGAGAAGTCGACTTGTGAAAGAGACCTAGGGGTACTTGTAAGCCCGGACCTACGGCCTAGAAAACAGTGCGTTAATGGTCGAAATAAGGCAAACAGAGTATTGGGTTTTATATCTAGAAGTGTAAGTAACAAGAGTGCAGAGGTCTTATTGCAACTATATCCTGCGCTAGTCAGGCCGCAGCTCGATTATGCGGTTCAGTTCTGGTGCCCCTATTATAGAATGGATATAAATTCACTAAAGTCGGTGCAGCGACGAATGACAAAAATGATTCCGGGACTTAGAAACCTTCCATATCAGGATTGGTTAAAGAAACTTAACTTGCATTCCCTAGAAAGACGAAGAGTGCGGGGAGATATGATAGAAGTATTTAAGTGAGTGAAAGGAATCAATAAAAGGGATATAGATAAAGTTCTATTTTATCCGAGCAGGATAGGACTCGGAGCAACGGATTCAAGTTGGATAAGTTTAGGTTTAGGAGGGAGATAGGAAGAAACTGGCTCACAAATAGGGTGGTGGACGAGTGAAACAAGCTTAGCAACTTTGTAGTAAGTGTGAGAACTCTGGAAAGTTTCAAAAAGAGGCTAGATAGATTCATGGATGATAGAGAGTGGTAGTAACTCTCGACAGGAGCTGCCATGCACAGGCCAACCGGCCTATTGCAGACTCCTTATTTTCTTATGTTCTTAATGTGTTGAGAGCCGCCAGGTATGTTCCGTCTCCCGCGCGTTACAAGTTGTGTTTACCTGGCAGGTGTGAACCACCTCTGGGTTTTGTGTTATTTCCATTTACTTTATGTAATTCATAATTGGTTGATGTTAGCATAAAGAGGATACTTTACGTGGGTCGTGGCAGGTTAGATGACGACTTCAAGGTGGGGGTCGTTATCGGATTCGGCCTTGCCCTCATTGACGACAAGCTGATTGAATTGTGCCAGGTAAACGACCTCTATATGATGGGGTCGTTGTCAGTAACGATGTCTTACTGAACGCTACCTTGTCGACGACGACTACAATGCCGGGTCGTTTTCAGAGATGATGTCCCTTTGGGCGGCCACTTCGTCGAAGTTATCAGCGGAGTTACCAGCCAGGTACTGATCGGTGAGGACCTCGTCGTATTCGTCCTCATCCACCATGGGGCATTGGATGCACCTATGGGGATCAAGAAAATCATTAATGGGGTCCGGTGGCATAAGGAGCGTTAATCGGGGGTCCTGTGGTACATGGGGACATGCTAATGGTGAGTTCTTGAACATGGGGTCACCGGATGCATCTGTAGACATGGGAAGGGGGCATAAATAATGGGATTCTGGGGCATGAAGGTACGTGATGCACCTGTTGGTGTAGGGGAGGCATAAAATGGGGTTCTTGGACATGGAAGTGAGATTATTTGGAATTCTTATGCAATGAACACCACCATGGAGGGCATAATATGATATAAATAGGGTCTGTGTCACGGGGAAGGCAAAAATGGGTATTACTAGGTGACGAGAAAAGTGTGAAGTATTCTTGGTTGATAGAAACACTTGTGAGTTGTTTCTACATGTCTGGATAAGTGTTCCAGGCTGTTACTAGCATGTGTGGAGGAATTCCAGTGTGTGTGTGTGTGTGTGTGTGTGTGTGTGTGTGTGTGTGGGACTAACCTGCTTTCGTTGACACCGTAGTTGATACAAGGGCTGCCTACACACTCGCAGCACCCGTCAAAGAACCAGCGATAAGCGGTGGCGCCCGTGGTAGTGCAGGTGGCCTTACATTTGCTTCCAGACATACACTGCGACATGTACATCACCGTGCAGTTGACCGTCACCATAAAAAATAAACATTTTGAGATAAATTTCATGAGACTCTGGGAGGCTGGATCTTGTGTTGGAAGGCAAGTCGCATAATTGCTGAATGTCAAAAAATTACAATTACCTTTTCATAAGTGATAATATAACATCAATAATACAAACGTCAGGACCGTTTCTCCAAACACCTTTTTCTGTCCCCTGGTGAGACACTTATTGTGGTCTTGTAGGCAAATCGCACCATTTCCCCCAATCCAACAACAATTCTCTCTCTCTCTCTCTCTCTCTCTCTCTCTCTCTCTCTCTCAGTAAGCATCTACTCACCCAACTTGTACTTGTTCTTATCCAGGGTTGTGGTGTCTATATCGGAGAGGGCCAAGTCGATAGGGAAGGTCATGGCGGTCCAGCGTAGGAGAGGGTCCTTGTCTCCTGTGAGGGCCTGGAACAGCTGCTGGAAGGGCTCAGGTAAGTCACCCACCTGAGAGTCTGTCTTGTCCAACACCTGGCTCCTAGGTTCACACATACCTGGTGAGGAGGAGGAGGTGACAGTCTAATAACTTACTTTGGTGATGAGGATGATGATGGTGATGGTGAAGGTGAAGGTGATGATGATGATGGTGATAATGAAGGTGAAGATAGTGATTGTGATGATGATGATGATGATGGTGAAGCTGGTGAAGGTGATGGTGATGATGGTGATGATGATGATGAAAGTGATGATAATGATGATGGTGAAGGTGAGTATGATGATTATGATGGTGGTGATAATGATGATGATAATGATTATGGTGATAATGATGATGAGGAGGATGAAGGTGACGATGAAAATTATGAGGATGATGATGATGGTGATTATGATGATGAAGATGATGAAAGTGATGATGATGAATGTGAAAATGGTGATTGTGATGAAGATGATGATGAAAGTGATGATGAGTATGCTGTTGCTGCTGATGATGATGATGATGAAAGTGATGATGATGATGATGATGATGGTGATGATGATGACGGTGAAGATGGTGATTGTGATGATGATGGCGATGATGATACTAAGGGTGAGGAAACATGATAGATATACTAATGATAATAATGATGTTTTATAGTGAGCGATAGTGATAATGATATTGATGATGATGAAGGTGATGATGATGATGATGACGAAGGTGACGATAATGATGATGGTGATGATGATGATGATGACGAAGGTGACTATAATGATGATGGTGATGATGATGATGATGTTGCTTGATGGTGGTGATGATGAAGGTGATGATGATGATGATTATGAAGGTAATAATAATGACAAAATAAAGATGATAATGATGAGTCTGAAACAAACACATACACAGCAAACAATTACTGACCAAGTCATCATATCCCAGATGTAAACTTTCTCTTCAAAGTGTTTTTTACGTCTAGCAGTGTACAGTAAGCCTGTCATAGTTATTGTTCCCTAACACTCAGTATACAGTACTGACCTAGGCAGTAGCAACACTCAGTATACTGACCTTCGCAGTAGCAACACTCAGTATACTGACCTAGACAGGAACAACACTCAGTGTAATGACATAGAAATGAACAACAATCAGTATGCTGACCTAGACAGGAACAATACTCAGTATGCTGACCTAGAGAGGAACAACACTCAGTATACTGACCTAGACAGGAACAACACACGGTATACTAACCTAAACGGGTACAACACTCAGTATACTGACCAAGACAGGAACAACACTCAGTATACTGACCTAGACAGGAACAACACTCAGTATACTGACCTAGACAGGAGCAACACTCAGTGTACAGGTAGCCCAGACACTTGGCACAGTCTCTGCAACACGTGCAGTTGTTGGTGGGGGAGTTGCTAAGGTCACACTTGCACGCCTGAGTCAACATGCACTTGCTGACCATGCTGGCACACACCACCTCGTTGCACGCCCACGTAACCTGCACGCCCACGAACGCCACGGCCAAGCTCACCCATACTACCGTGCACCATCGCATCTGTGAAGGAGGGAGGGAGGGCGGGTGTGGTAAATGAGGATTTATGTACAGTACAGTATGTTAGGAGTTTGACAGAAAGTTGCCTGTGAACTATTATTGAGACGCAACAGTTGCCTCTCAATAATAGTTCACAGGCAACTTTCTGTCAAACTCCTAACATACATATGCTGTATTTAGGCAAAACAAAATATTTCAAGTGTAATAAACTTCTTTCACACTCACCTGGTTGTTTATTGCCTCTCCAATCGCTTTTCATATTTTATCTTTATGCAGATTATCACTGTATTTCTTGTTAGTCATGTCAAATAACTCTTCATACCCACGCACAACTTCTATCAGCCTTTCGTCCATGATGCCAAACACTGAACTAAATACGTCATAAGGAGGCGGCAACTGCAGATGGTCAGGTACCGTACGGGGTGAACGGTAATAAAGTCACAGGAAAAAAAGTCACAGAAAAAATTCACAGGAAAAAAGTCACATTTAAGGGAATAAAACTAGAAAATATTTTAAAACAGTTATGAACTGACAATACATGACTTTTACATATTGACAACACAATTTATATATGATGCACGTAGGTTAGGTTAGGTTAGGTGACTTTTCTCTGACTTTTTTTCCTGTGACTTTTTTACCTGGATTCCCGTACGGGTCCTCGTTCACGCGAGCCGTCTGCAACCCGTCAGGCTGGCGCCAAGCCGCTGTCAAACCGGCCAGGATTTCTTGGCCGCCTGCCGCCGTCAGCATGACCGGTCGTGTGATCAGTTACATTAAAATGCATTTAAGAAATGGTGACGGCGTCTAGCCGACGGCTTGACGGTCGGAACAGAAACGGGTCGTGTGAATCGGCCCACGTCCCCTTCAAACCCTCTCCTAAATAGCACCACAAATTAATGTTGACCAATCAATCAGAGTACCGTCCTCATATCTGAAGGTTGGCGACCTGGACCTCCACTCTAAACGTTCTTGGGCTGTTTTGACCAATCCTCTAATCTAAAATTGTGGGTCTCTCTGGGGACCCAGTTTGTTATTTCATTTATCCATCCTAGTCTCTGCCTTCCCTTTAACTTTCCTACCCTCAATTTTGCCCATTAATGTATATGTTATTATTACCTCATCCCTAATTATATGACCAAAGTTTCTCATTTCTCTTTTTCTGTACATTTCAAGTATTTCTCTTGAAGTTTTTGCAAGTCTTAGTACTTCTTTATTTGCTTTCCTGTCAGTGTAGCTTATTCTTTGCATTTGTCTATAACACCACATTTTAAGGCCTCCAACGTGTCAGAATTGGTTATCGTGACAGAGATAAGGTGCGGAAAGGTGAGGGAGGTGTAGGGTGGTGTGGGGGGCGTGAGGGAGGTCTGAGGCTGATGAGGGTGATGTTGGCGAGATGAGGGCAGTGTGGGGATGGGGAGGAAGCAAGGGAAGGAAGGGAGGTGTGGGGATGTTAAGGAGGTGAGGGAGGTGTGGAGGACGTGCTTGGGAGGTGTGAATGTGGTGTTGGAGGTGTGAAGGTGGTGTGGGGGTGTGTGAAAGTGGTGTGGGGGGTGTGAAGGTGGTGAGGCAAGTGTGCGGGTAGTGAGGGAGTGGCGCGGGTAGTGAGGGAGTGGTGGGGGTCGTTGGTGAGACAAGTGGCGGTGTAAGAGCCGCTCACCACCTCCACTGGCCTCTACCTTCCTGAGGTATGCTTTTATTTTAGCCACATTATCTGCGCGTGTGTCTGGCTGGTTTATCGCCTATGGAGAGCTTCAAGAGGAGAAGTAAGAGAATAAAAAAGAGGAGGAGGAGGAGGAGGGCACTCAAACACCAGTTCCGGGGAGGGATAACACTACACGGAAAGGTGTGTCCTACTTACCTTGGGTGGCGTGAGTGAGGAAGGTGTGGGTGCTGGAAAAATCACTAGAGGTTTTGGAGGCTATGACAGTCTTGGGAGGCCACTGAGGAGGCGCTTGGGTGTGTATGGTGTACCTGGATGGATGTAAACACGGAGGACATCACCTGGCAGAGCGCCACCTGAGGAGAAGCGCTGTATCGTCTGGCTCTCCAGACCACAGGTGAAGCAAGGTGCTGAAGGGCATCATCAGTTCCCGCTTCGCGCCACTATATAATTTTTCGTCCATTTGTGTCGCCTCTTGCCAAGACATTAATCATAAGATTGCGCTGTACACTGTTCTCAAAGAAGATAAATTACTTCCAGAGTAAGAAGCCTAAAGATTATATATGAGGTAACACTGTTAATAAAAGCAAAACAACAGTATGGCAGCGGAAGGGGGAGCACTAGGCTAGGACTAACACCAACCAATCACAACACGACTTCCAATGCCCAGTGACGTCATGAAGCCAGAATGAATGAGTTGCATTTAAAGTAGAATTGCGATGCAGATTGTCATTTCTTCGCAGTGTAAAAGTAACGTTCACTAAATGAGTAAATGAGAATATTATTCTTTTTATGTTTATTTCTGACATATTTAGTAAATACGGTATATCAAAAGTTACAAGTTGGAAATTGTTGAAGTTTAGAAAAATTAGAGTAACAACAATTGGTAAAGAGATACATCATTAAGTACTTTGCTTTTATTTTTCTTAACTGATGTATAACTAAAACACGAGACAAGATTGGAACAAAACAGTCAGTTACCGTGGAGCTCAGGGATAACGACCGAGGAATGATCAATAATCTGAATAAATATTTATCAACAGTTTTCACCACCGTAAATTTAAACATGATACCCGAGGCACCGACTATATACAGAGATAGTGAAGAAAATAGATTAAGTGAGATAGTAGTGACTGGTAACGATGTTAGCAAGCAAATAGACAAGCTAAAGCCTAATAAGTCACCTGGTCCCGATGATATATTTGCCAGAGTATTAAAGAAATATCAAGAAGGGCTTAGTATGCTTTTAGCAAAGTTGTTTAACTTGTCCTTAAAAACGGGTGTAGTGCCAGAATCCTGGAGGATAGCGAATGTGATACCGATTTTCAAGAAGGGAGAGGCTCATGGCATTGCAGGAGATATTCTAAAATGGATTAGGGTGTGGTTACAGGACAGGAAACAGCGAGTGAGCATTAACGGCACTAAATCCGATTGGAGCAACGTCACTAGTGGAGTAACCCAAGGCTCAGTACTTGGATCATTATTGTTTATTATATACATAAACGACACAAATATCGGCATAGACAGCAACAAAAGTAAATTTGCTGATGACGCTAAAATAGGACGTAATTAAATCTGACGAGGTCTCCACAAAACTACAGGAAGATCTAAACTAATTTTTCGAATGGACTGAAAAATTGCAGATGAAATTCAATGTGGACAAATGTAAAGTACTCAGTATAGGAGATGTAACAATGGAAACCAGATACCAGATGAACAACGATGTTATTGAGAAATCCGAATGTGAGAAAGATTTAGGAGTAATGATAAGTAGGAATCTTAAGCCAAGTAAACAGTGTGTATTTGCTCGAAACAAGGCTAATAAAGTACTTGGGTTCATACAAAGGAGTGTTAGTTACAAGACTAGCGAGGTTATCGTAAAACTATATCTTGCGCTTGTGAGACCTCATTTGGAGTACACAGTTCAATTCTAGTCACCGTATTACAGAATGGATATAGAATCCCTAGAAATAATTCACCGGAGAATGACAAGACTAATCCCGGGCATTAGGAACCTTGAGTACAAAGACATGTTAAAGCATCTTAAATTGCACTCCCTGAGAGACGAAAAGTGAGGGGCTATATGATGAGGTGTATAAATGGAAGTCAGGGCTAAACAAATGGGACATTACAAAGATACTCAAACAATCCAATCAGGAGGGGAAACTCGTAACAATGGTTTAAATTAGACAAATTTAGATTAAGGCTCGAAATAGGTAAACATTGGTTTAGAAATAGAGTAGTGGACGAGTGGAACAAGTTACCAAACATCATTATTTCCTCGAATACGTTGGATAGCTTTAAACATAGGTTGGATGGATATATGGGCAATAGTGGTTGGGTGTAAATGGGACTGCCCATTGCCCAGTATGGGCCAATAGGCCCGCTGCAATTTCCTCCATTCTTATGTTCTTATGTTCTTATGACCTATATTGTTCATTATCACATTTATTCACGGGTTCAGCTGGTCCTAACTATACGAATGTAGAGTAATATTGTCATCCACCTGAGGCAAAAATCTTATATTCGTCAATCAAGTGGTGAATTAATATTAATCCAGATCTTCCTCAAAGCAATTAAGCTCCTTCAAGATGGTTTAAGATCCGTTAAATATTCCCAAAGGCAATTATAATACAAAGTGAGGGAGAAGAACTGAACCATCTCCTGCAGGTGGTGGCTCTCAACCTCCTCCGAGTGTTACCGTGAGAGAGAGAGAGAGAGAGAGAGAGAGAGAGAGAGAGAGAGAGAGAGAGAGGTAGTGAGCTCTTGACTAGAAATATGATGGAAAAAGTGAGTTCTTAGGTACTGGACGAAATCGAACACTCTGGAAGGGAAGGAGTGAGCTCTGAGGTAGTGAATAAGGGCAGATATATCACGTCAGTGTTGTCTTCTCACGTGTTGTACATTTTAAGACCACCCGAGTGAAAAGTGCGTTGAGTTTTACACCTCCGTCAAGATTCATGAAGTGATGACTGGTTGAGGAGATGCTGGTGACCGTCGTGGATGTCATCAGGTGTGTCATCATTAATTATTTAGGTATGTGGTTAAGACAGATGAGAAAGGCGAGGGTGTTAGGGCGTCCGGTGTTGGGTGGGTGTGGATGCTGAGGTGGGTATGTGACGGAATGGTGTGCTTGGTGTTCTGGTAGGAGTGGCGGGAGGTGTAGGTGTTGGTGTGATGGGGGGTGGCTTGGGTGGTGAGGTGTGTGTGTGGTGGGTGGAGGGATCTGTGGGTGGTGGGGTGTGTGGGTGATGGGTGTGGGTGGTGGGGTGTGTGGGGTGGTGGGGTGTGTGGGTGGTGGGGTGTGTGGGTGGTGGGGTGTGGGTGGTGTGTGTGGGTGTGGGGTGTGTGGGTGGTGGGTGTGGGTGGTGGGGTGTGTGGGTGTGGGGTGGGGTGTGTGGTGGTGGGGTGTGGGTGGTATGGTGTGGGATGGTGGGGTGTGTGTGGGTGGTGGGTGTGTGTGGTGTGGTGGTGGGGGTGTGTGGTGGGTGGTGGGTGTGTGTGGGTGGGGGTGGGTGGTGGGGTGTGTGGGGTGGGGTGGGGTGGGGGGGTGGGTGGGGTGGGTGGGTGGGTGGGTGGTGGGGTGGGTGGGTGATGGGGTGGGGTGGGTGGGTGGGTGGGGTGGGGTGGGTGGGTGGGTGGTGGGTGGGTGGGTGTGGGTGGTGGGGTGTGTGGGTAGAGGGAATATGGGTATCGGAAGACGTATTTTAATAAAGGCCAAGATTGACCTGAAATATACAGTTCTTGATCTTGACGGTTATAAACAAGTGTTCAGGCGCAGGTCACATGTATCTGTTAGAGCCTTTAAGAATTCAGTATACTTCAGATAAACACAGGACACAACATCGCCGGACAAAACAACTCTTGATTCGTAGATATAGTTGGCACTTTATCTCTGCCTCCGCCACCTCCTTCATGCTTTCCGTCTGCGCAGGTGCGTGACGCGGGACGAGGCCCTCATAATAGCCGATCACGGGAGGCAGATTAAGACACATTGGCTGACCGGGGAGCGAGAGTCACAGGCATCACCACCTGGCAAGTATGCGAACTGTGAAGGCCCTCGTGTGGTTTGCGGTCTTGTCTCTGATCCACGTTAAAGTCCAGACCCTTACGGGGGAGCTGCCACGGAGTACTGCAGCGTCCATAACGTTTCTGTTAAAACCCTGGCAGGATGAGGGAGACAGATTCGCACTTACCAGAATCCACGCGAGAGAAGATGAACCCTCTCTCGCCAGATCAGCGAACCTTACCCTGGGGTTGAGGCGACCTTGGCGCCATCTCTCAGGACCTACCCGGGGCTTCCTATTAAGGGGCAGGAGAATGAAGCTACTGTTGACAGATATTAACGTTTCAAAGTCTCAGAGCTCAGTCTCGCCCTTAAGATCGACCGGAGACACCATGATGCAGGTGGTGCGACAGTACCTCAGGCAGTGCCTGCTGGTATTGCGTTTTGTCGGTAATAACGACCAGGGCCTGAAGACGGTTCTGAGGAAGATGGGTGAGGCGATGGTGCCCACCTTCGTCCTGGAGTCACCAGCTGATCAGGATAATATAACAGGTAGGCCACTATTTTTCTGGGAAGCACTAGCAACCGTGGAACACGTCACAGGTGGGTTTGTACCCATCTACTGAAAGATGCGGGAAGAATTTAATTAACCCCTCTTTTATGGGTCACTGACTCGGTATATCCTCAGGTTTGGAGAAAAATTAATAATTGTGTGTCTTCCACAACAGATGACGAGGGAGGGAGCAGCAGCGTGAGGGTGGTGAGTGGGTGTGCTGCTCATATACTGCTGCTGGACCCTGGGGCAGACGGGGCTGAGGGCGGGGCAGACGGGGCCGGGGGTATGTTAGATTCACTCCTCCAGCAGGACGCCCCAGTCACTGCCCCTCGCAACTACCTTTTCATCCTCGCTCCTTACATGAGGAATGGTTAGCACCTCCTATAGTGAAGTAACCCAGTAATACTATACTGTACTAATTTACATACGTACGATTGTGGTGGAGCAAAATACTCATATACTATACCGTGCGTTGATAGCATAGCAGGGCAGGCTTAACTAAATTATCTTCACCTGTACTCCTCAACGTTAGGTTAGGTTAGGTTAGGTTAGCACATGATAGGTTCAGTTTTGGTTAGATTATACGGTATTAGGTTAGATTTGGTTAGAGTAGCACTAGGATGTTTAATCATCAGGGGAACTCAAACAACACTGCTAAAAGATTTTAAGTGTAAAAAAAATTACTTTCAAACTGTAGTCATAAAACGAAAATGTTAATAAATAATAAAATAGAAAAACAGTTACAACAAAGATCTGAGTAGAAAGTAAAATTCCAATCCTATTACACAAATATTTGAGTTTAATTTTTTAAATGGAAATCATCAATATAACCAGAAATCTTAACACAAATAAGCCAACAAATCAAATGGTTACACAGAAAACCGAGTCAAATCGCAGGGAAGCTCCACTAAAAAAAAAAAATCACATCCGCCACTTATACAGGTTAATGCTGATTTATTGTTGTTAAGTTCAAGTTTGTTTAGCTCCGTGTGTAAACTTTCTAATATTGTTGTGTTGGTTGATATAACGAAATGACCTGATGATTGTTTGGTGTCTGATTGTTGATTCTTATACACCTGCCCCCACCCTACCCCCTGTGATCACAAATCCTTATCTTCAGTGAGAATGGTGATTATTCTTATCTAAACGTTGATAAGTGAAGATAAAGATAATTTAATTTATTCTCCCCTGCTATAATAATTTCAGTAGTAATGATAGATATAAGATAAACATTGGCGGTCGGACAGTGAATCGTGTTGTTACAGAAGATGATTACACCAAGACCCTCCTGTTGCACCCTCGTCTACCCCGCCACATGGACACCTTCCTTCTGCAGCCTCCTGACTCACAGCACCCAGGTAAGCCACTCTCCATGTCCCCTTTGCCTTCTATCTTCTTATAGTAACCATAATATAAGTGTCTCCCCTACCCCTTACTTATACCTTCCCCTGTCAACCATTAAGTGACCCCTTACCCCTAATACCTTACCCTGATAGGCAAGTGATTATCCCAAATTAGCTTAACCTCCCCCCTACCTCCTATAACGTCACCTACCCTAACCACCTCTAACAACTTCCTCACCTTCACCTAATCTTCCATCTTCCCCAGCCTCTCTACTGTCACTTAATCAATACAGTAGCGTTGATTAATGTTACAGAGTGTGGTGAGTGATACAGGTGTTTCAGATAATGTGGTGGTGTACGGGCGGTGTCTCCACTGTGAGGGCGGGACAGAGGGTGTGAGGGTGGTGGCCAGGTGGGCGGTGGGCGGCCTTACACACATCAGTCCCATGTTCCAAGATCATATCAGGTGATTTCCAGGAAGTTCACTTTCTTCTTTTCTGATAATTTGCACAAGTTACTAATAGATTAAAAGATTTAACTCATATCAACTATTAAAATACGTTAAATACTATCTCATGAATTTTGATAATTATTTGACTATTGAGAAGAATTGTATCATACACAGAAATAAAACAAACTGAAAATTTATGCTAACATCTCAATTCAAAGATGAGCATTATGCTCCTCTCCAGTTAGTCAATATAAGCGAGTCACTCAATGAGTCGCTCAGTCAGTCAGTCAATGAGTCATTCAGTCAGTCAGTCATCGAGTCAATCAGTCAGTTCGATCATTCAATCTATCCGTGAGTGAGTGAGAGTCGAGTGACAGAATGAGCGAGCGAGTGAGTGACTGACTGACTGACTGAGTGAGTGACTGACTAAATTAGTATTTGAGTGAGTCAATCCATCATAGGTGAGCCAGATAAAGTGTCAGGAATAACGCCCACAGAGCTGACTAACTCGTACCTGGTGTGGTTCTTCATCAGGGACTTTCACGGCCACGTTTTTCACACCGTCACGATGGACTTCGCCCCCTTCATCGACTACACCAGGACGCAGGACGACCCCGGAGGCCTCACCACGCCCACGGACTCCATGGATGTCCGTATCCTGAAGGAGGCAGCGCGGGCTCTCAACTTCTCCTTCATCTTGAGGGAGCCTTCTGATGGGCAGTGGGGGTGAGTGGGTATTCTGATGGGTAGTGGAGATGGAAGAAGACTTTTGGGAGTGGCTGATTGGAAAGAGAAGAGCTCATCAGTTTATACTTTACCAATAAGGACTAGTAAACACAAGCATTGCTTTACTCTCTCTCTCTCTCTCTCTCTCTCTCTCTCTCTCTCTCTCTCTCTCTCTCTCTCTCTACTTCTGTCTTCTTTTCTCTTTCCCCACTTTTTTAATCTGTCATCCTCTCTCTACTTCCTCTCCCTTACTATCACTCCTTATTTCTGTTTCTGCCCCTTGCTCTTTCTATCTCTGCCTTCACATGTCTCTCTCTCTCTCACATACATACGACAAATAATGTACCAACCAGGTGTGTGACAGGTACCTGCTGGAGAACGGCTCGTGGACAGGTACGGTGGGTACAGTACAACGGGGTGAGGCGGACTTCTCCATGATGCTCTCAATCACCTGGGAGAGGACCTACGCCGTCAGCTTCACTCGCGCCTACTACGTTGAACCCATGACCTTCGTGACGAGGAAGCCCGGGCCTTTACCTCAGTGGCAGGCGCCCATCAAACCCTTCCATTGTGAGTCGGTAGTTCGGTTAAATCCTTCCACTGTGTATACTATGGTTCAGCTCCCTCAAACTATGTGACATAGCCCAATCTTTCAGACGTCTCTGCAATAACACACACACACACACACACACGTATGCAAGTTTGCTTTACTCGAGGTCCTTGTCTTCTTGTTGTCACCTCTCTCTCTCTCTCTCTCTCTCTCTCTCTCTCACTCTCTCTCTCTCTCTTTATAATCAAGTATTTTCTCCAGATTTTATTTTAATCTTTTATGGTAAACATTACTGTGGTGTACTTCAGTGTTCAGTGCGCGTAAGTGTGTGTGTGTCGTGTCTCTGGTTCAGGGGTCGTGTGGCTGCTGCTGGTGGCGAGTGTCACGATGGCCGGCCCTGCCCTCTGGGTCCTCCTCCGTCTTTCCCCCTCCTCCTCCTCCTCTTCCTCACACTCACAGCGAGGAAGCTGGGAGGGAGGACAGGAAGGAGGAAAAGATGATGGGTCCGTAAGTGGTAAAGATGGGATGAAGAAGGAGGAAGAGGAAGCGGGAGGAGAAACGATGTGGAATTTGAACTTCGGGGAAATGTTTTTTTACATGTTGGCTCCCATCTTCGCTGAGCCCGTGCGGCTGTTGCCCAGGTGAGTGGTGATACTCCTTCCCAGGTGAGTGGTGACATTCCTCCCCAGGTGAGTGGTGATACTCCTTCCCCCAGGTGAGTGGTGACACTCCTCCCCAGGTGAGTGGTGATACTCCCCTCCAGATGAGTGGTGACACTAATCCCCAGGTGAGTGGTGACACTCCTCCCCAGGTGAGTGGTGACACTCCTCCCCCCAGGTGAGTGGTGATACTCCCCTCCAGGTGAGCGGTGACACTCCTCCCCCTGGGTCAGTGGTGACACTCCTCCCCCTGGGTCAGTGGTGACACTCCTCTCCGGGTGAGTGGTGACATTACCTCTCTTCTACTACCCCCGTAGATGATATTTTATTGATCAGTTTTCTGTATCACACCTTTCACAGACAATATGTGTGAAGGATACTTGATGCAGTCATCTGTTTGCTTACTGAAAGAATAGTTTCCATACCATAACTAAACTTTCTGAAACACAACAAGAGAAGCAAAGTCGGTGGTACAATTGTTGTTGTTCTCATAGGTCGTCGAGCAGCCGGGTGCTGTGTGGGTTGTGGTGGCTCTTCTGTATCCTCACCACCACTCTTTATCGGGGCAGCCTCATTGCCCGCCTTACCTTCCCCACCAGGAGTCCCTCACTCAACACCCTCGACCAACTCGCCTCCAGCGACCTCGAGTGGGGAATGCTCGACACTTACGGCTCCGGTTACCAGCTCTTCAAGTCCTCCACGGTAATATTCCTACCTATCAGGATTGCCAGAACATTGTTTGAGTAGCTCCGTCAATAATACCTCAACTTTCTATTTTCTAAATCTCTCTCTCTCTCTCTCTCTCTCTCTCTCTCTCTCTCTCTCTCTCTCTCTGATGGACTGTAAGCCACTGTTGTAGCAGCTCTGGTAATGAAAAAAGTTTGACTTCCAAATTTTTCGTCTCGTGTACTGGGCACTACTTTAGAAACCATCACAATAAAACTTCTGAGGCATCACAGTTCCAGATGGTACAGCTCTTTTCCTTCCAGGTGCCGGTGTACCAAACACTGTTCCAGAAGATGCAGTACCACAATATGAGATACTCCATGGAGCGCGTCCTGGGAGGTAACTACGCCTTTATATCATGGAAGACTTACTTCAGGAACCTCATCGCCCGAGATTACACCGACAGGAACGGCGCCACATTGGTGTGTTGAGGGGAGGATAGGGGCAAGAGATGAGGCTCAGAGGCGTCAGTGTGTTTTGCTTTTCCTTAACCCTCAACCCCTAGTAAGGCAGGGTCTCTCTCAGATGAATAAAATCGTCTGGCGTTAGCTAGACTAGGGGAGGTATATACGACTGCTTGTCCCCTGAAGGGTAATATATAACTACCAAGTGACCAATGCTTAAGGTAAGAAAGACGAAGATACATGATTGAACCATAAATAAAGAGGTAACTATGTGTTCCACATCTAAGGACTTGTACTGTAGATGTCTGAGGGCAGGAAGACGTGAGACGTCTGGGAGTTTCAGACATGGGTCGTACAGGACAGGAGAGAATAAATGATGATATTCTTCTAAATAGAGCTTGCGTGAGCACGATAAAGAAAAGAGGGGGAGAGGGGTGATGGACTGGATTTCATTGGTGCACTGACCTTGGATATAACGATAAAATTGAGAAAGCAAAGAGACATCGTGTGGCGTAAGGAGCAGATGGAGAGGTAAGGAGGAAACCTGAAGCTGGTTGTTTATGAGGCAATTAGCTTGAGACTCAATTTTATCTGCACCGATAGGAAAATTCTTAAGAGCACATTTTCAAACGCTCCTTAGAGCCTTGTATTGTGAGATATATTGAGGCTATGGCTGGTGTACGCCGAGTAACTTTAACACTATACTTCCTCGGGTACTGTTGTCACTTACATCTTCAGGTGCACATCGCCCGCGAGGATTTCTTCCCAGGGGGCTTCGGGTGGGCGTTCCCGAAAGACTCGCCTTACTTGGTCACCTTCGACGAGGTGTTTCAGCGAATGATAGAATCTGGGCTTATTCAAAAGTGGATGACGGACCTCATCCAGCTGTCGGCCAGAGAGAACCGGGAGGACTTAGAGCTGCTGGAGCCGGAAGTAAAGGGTCCTCAAGCCTTCACGATCTACCACCTGCAGGGAATATTCTTCATAATGATGGGAGGCTTCCTGCTGACGCTGCTTGCCTTCCTGGGAGAGACACTAAAAGCGTTTCTCTCTCCCCGCACGATGCTTTAAAGTCCTCCTCGACCGCCTCCATTACACTCAGGAGGCTGACGGAAAACTACTGTCATGGACGGATTCACATGTATGCGTTTTGAATTTGTCAAGTTGATGTCGAGTATTGTATACCGGTACTTGTTTCTGTGTAACCAGTCAGATTCTGACCTCCACAAATTTCAATGTAACTTGCACACGCTAGTCAAACGTAGTATGTGACTTAATGTCTATTGTAAACTACAAAATAGTTGTAAGCTCTTACCCAAACTGGTAATTTCTCTTAAATTTGTCTGCATTCATGAAGTTTCAATATTTTCCAAGCAATATTAATTCCCTTCTACTTATTCATTACTTTTTTTTACTTTTATCTTTTATCCTCTTCGCCACTGATCGGCTCGCTAGCCGCCCGGGCGATCGGTCACGTCTCTGTCACGCACTGTTGGCAAATACTGGGCATGCACCGGTCTCCTGAAAGTACCTGAACCCGCTCCAGTGTTGGTCAAGTCTTCTCTTGAAAGAGCTCACACTCGGTGCCGTCACAACACTCTCTGGTAGATTGTTCCAAGAGTTTACAACCCTCACTCCGATGCTGTACAAACTTATCTATTTGTCTTTACTCCTCACCCACCAGGCTTATATTCAGCTGGATCAATAATGCCTCCCAGTTTTTTAACTTGCTTAGTGTTGAAGAGATCTACAATATGTTTGGCGTTAAAAAGAGCAGTCCCAGTAAATGTTGACTGTGATAATCTATGCAGGGAAAGCCTAGAGAGTAGGGCTAAGCTGAGGACTGAAGAGAATACAAAATACAAAACGACTGATCAAAAATAAAAGAAAAGCCTACTGAGGGGCGTCCTCATGTAAGAATATTAATTTAAACTGTACACTAGACAATCAGTAAATGAAGGAAAACAACTTCCAGTTCTAGCAATGATACTGATTATTTCAATGTTTTTCTATGTTTTGACAAATGGATAATGTGTTCATCGAATGAGATTTTGTAACGTTACTGGGGAAATGTTTCCAAACAAACTGAAGCCTCATTCTTAAAGCTCCGGTCTCTTTCACCCACCCTGAGAGAAGAGAGAGAGAGAGAGAGAGAGAGAGAGAGAGAGAGAGAGAGAGAGGAGGGGGAAAGGTCATCACTATCAATCCATCATAGCAGGTAAACATCAACTGGTGTGAGAGATCCTCGACTTTCTGCCTCCCCCTCCCTCACTTCCGTTCCCCGTCTCTCCCTGCTTCTCTCCCTTCTGCTCTTCCCCCGTCCCTCTCCCTGCTTCACTTCCGCTTTCCCTCTCGCCCTGCTTCTCTCCCTTCTGCTCTCCTCTCGTCCCTCACCCTGCCTTACAGTCTACCTCACACCCCACCTCACACCCGGCCCAAACACAACAAAATCTAGTACAGAGGAGTGAGTCTGGCCAGCCACCTGCGTCGTTCACACCGGCACTCAGGGAGGTGTGTTTGGTCAGCCAACAGTGTTCAGTGTACCTAGTACACTTCAGTACTCTTGGGTGTATCAGAGAACCTCAAACATTGTACACCCAAGATCAGTTAAATATATACTATATCTACACGGGGAAGAACTAAGTGTGTCTATTTTCCATTTTATATATTGAAAATGAAGTAAAGGTGATTTACAGTACCCTCCATGACACACTGAGGAGCTGTCACCATCAGGATTATTAACGAGCTTTACGTCACAGCACAGCTCAGCCAGATTTGTGATGTTCTTTTGAAGACGAAGATTCGAGTCCTACGTTAGCAACTTATCTTTTTCCACAGATGGTATATTCATCATGGACTTTTTGTCTTCCTGTTTAGTTCCTCCAAGTGGGACTCCAGGCAACGTCCTTCACTACCTAGTACGAAGTGGATGATGGTCGTCCCGCCATTTATTTATTTATTTATTTATTTATTTATTTATTTTGCTGTGACGTACGTATCACTCACGATTGTGTCCTTGTTTTAATTCCCGGCTCTGGGTATTCTAGACAATAAAGTTCAGAACAAAGTAACAGAAAACAGACCAACCGCCCGAACTTCTAGAACTCCATAATCATCAATGATTTGCCAGCCAAGCAAGTGTGGTACTGTTTCACCATAGTTGAGGAAACAGTGTACAAGTTCTGAGAAAGGGATTCCAGCCTGCGATACCCCCTTATCTTACATTCTACCAAGACACTGTTTTGGCTTCATGACTCATGAGCCAAGCTGGTGTGTTTTGTTTTCATTACCGCCTGGGAAATTAGTCTCATTTCTCATGAATACCAATGTTGTTGGTCGTCCCAGGAGGGGCGTGGCGACTGTCTACCACCTCCTCCACAGTGTCAACAGTGGTCAGTGTCGGGCTGGTGATGTGATATTGACGGCAATGAAAGTGATGAAGGCAATCACTACTTCTACTACTACTACTATTACTTTTTTCTTCTTAATATGGCCACCAACCTCCCTTTACAGCCATATCTTTTCCACACATTTTATTACCCAACTATCCTAATACAAAAGTAACTACCTTGCTGAGTTAGTTAAGCCACAGATCTATGCAGCATTCATTGACTGTCGCCTCATAGTCTATGTTTGCGACTGTTGTTGTTTTAGATCTAATATTCAGGTGAAAACAAACTATTAAAAAAACATGAGATAGGCAGGTCATGGGAGGCGTGAATTGGGTCACTTAATACTCTCTTAAAAAACCCGAAAAAAACGCTATTAAACTCATTCCCTTGGAGGACGTATCAGAGACAGGGCGCCGGGGCCTTTGGGGGTGTCCTGGTGAGTTGGTTAGGGTTTCGCACACCTGCCCATAACCAAATTACCTCGTCAGAGTCTCTTATGGCGTTAGAACTTGTGATATCTCGACATCTTCATTCTCTTTATTTTATATTTATGTTTTATTTCCTATTTCAATTTATTAATTATTTTCTAGCTGTATTTTTTTCCTCTTTCATTTTTTATCTATTCGTTTGATTTTCTTTCCATTCTTTTGTTTCTCTGTTTATTTCACGTATCAGGTAAGGGTGTGCGAAGGGAGGTGTCAGGGGGTGGGTATCAGAGGGTGAGTGCCAGGGGGAAGTGCCAATGGGAAGGTGTCTGGGGGTAATACCAAGGGGGAGGTGCCAGGGGTGGTTGCCAGGGTGGAGGTGCCAGATATGAAGAGGTGATCCATCATTAGTTAGAAGGTTGCTCTCTGAGGTGGAGATTATCCCCTCAGGTGTGTCCCTCTCTCCCTCTCCATTACTCTCACCTCTCACCTCTCACACACTTTCGTTACTCTCACACCTGGACGAACCTGTGTAACATCTCTGGACGAGCCTTTGTGACATTTCTAGATGAACCTTTGTAAATAATGACGAAAATAAAAATAAGGGAAGCTAAAGAAAAAATCTGCAGCAAAAAGTATCGATAAATATGGACAAATTAATGTGATCTCTTAATTGCTGGAAATAATAACGACTACCACCACACAGCTGAGACAACACGACTACCACTACCTGCAAGTTGAGACAAGATGACGACCACTACTACAAGCTGAGACAAGATGACGACCACTACTACAAGTTGAGACTAGATGACGACCATTACTATAAGCTGAGACAAGATGACGACCACTACTTAAAGCTGAGACAAGATGACGACCACCACCACACAGCTGAGGCAAGACGACGATGACGATGACGATGACGACGACGATGACTACGACGACCACCACCACCAGCTGAGACAACACGACTACCACCACCACAAGCTGAGGAAACACGACCACCACCTCCCCAAGCAGATACAAGACGACTACCACCACAAGCTGAGACACCACCACCACCACCACCACCACCACCAGCAGCAGCACAGAAGGAGGCGCAGCAGAAGGGTTCGCTCAACCTAGTGATATATAACACTGTGTTCTGTACTCTCTCTCTCTCTCTCTCATTAATTATATCCTGCATGACTCATGTGGGGAGTTTCTTAACACTCTCAACAAGGTCTTATATCACTCCATATAACACCACAGTATTTGGTATATATATTTTCACCTTTATATCTTTGGATATATCTCGTATATGAAGGTTTTCTATAGTATATGCAAATGATGTGATTATTTATTTTATTTAACAAAACTCAAATATGGTCACATAGAGAGTTGAATATTTTTTCCCGTGACCATATATAAATTTTTGCTATGTCTGTCATCGGTGGATAATGATTCATACATACAGGTCTTCCACAGTATATGGAAATGAAGTTAATTTTTTCGTTTTTATTCGACTATAAAACATCACATTTCGTTGCATATGGGAATGGAATGCCTTACTGTATACGAGTCTTTGTTGTGTGTGTTTGACTGTTGGGTAATGGATGGTGTGTAGCAGTCATGTATGAGATGTACAGTATTAGTGCTCGGTTGTTTTATCTTTTCGAGATATATTAGATTTTTTAAGCTTTTCTCCAATTTTTTCCCATTGTTTACGTTTTTTTTACCTTTTGTCTATTTTTACTTTTTGGTTCGTTTTATTTATTTTTTTTACTTTTTTCCGTTTTTACTTTTTCCTATTTCTTTTTACCATTTGTCAATTTTTTTTTACCTTATTGTCGGTTTCTTTCTTTCTTTCTTCATTTATTTATTTTTGTTCATATTTTTTCATGACTGCGGGAGGTCTGTTTAACGACACGTCAGGCCAGGTCATAAATTTCACCACAAATATTTACATTCTGTTTTAGCTATGTGAGGTCATAAATTTGTCAGCATTTCTTTCCATATATATCTGGTATTTATTTAATTTTTAAGTAATGCAATACCCGGTCCACATTGTCACACCTACTGTTAACATATTCGCGTAAAAACATAAATCGTTACATATGAGAGGACTCTTTTTTTGACAATTCAGTAATTTTTATTTTTTGGGGGGTTGTGTTTTTTAAATTATTGATGAGGGTTATCCAAATAAACTATATGTTCCTTTATCTTATTACTGCTAAAAAAAACTCATTATTACTCATTACATGCAAAAGAATTATATATATATATATATATATATATATATATATATATATATATATATATATATATATATATATATATATATATATACATATATATAATTATCAACACCTCACCCCGCCAGGATTCGAACATCTTCAGAGGCAACTGTTTCCCTTTTCCCGTGTGATCTTACCAAGACTTATCTTATCCACGTTTTCATTGTGGATCTACATGATATATATATATATATATATATATATATATATATATATATATATATATATATATATATATATATATATATATATATATATATATATATATATATATATATACGACCGTGTCGTATTTTTCTATTTTTTTATATACAACATGCTCCCATGTTCCATATTATTCCTGTAATGATGTGTTAAATTTACTATTATATATTCTAGTCACCTTACCCTGTGCTGGTAAGGTTTTAACTGTCATTATTTGTTCAAGCCCATCTTATTTCTTTATTTTGTATTGTAACCAGCATTCTTTGTTCTCTAACGACCATCTGCGTCGTTAAACGACCCACCGGCGGGTCGCGTGGCGGGAGCCGACCTTATATATAGGACCCACCAACTGACTTGAGTCAGTTCAGTCCTCTTGTCATACAATCCACATCCTTTGAGTAACACTTGTTACTTATACTTAATTTATTTGTGTTGTTCCTGTCGCCACCAATGTGGTATATCTATGTGAGTACCTATTTATGTCTCTGTTTGTGTCCATCAGTATTTCCTTAGTTGTATTCAAGTAATTCAGTGTTGTTTCACGTTAGTTAATTTCAGTGATAGTTTTTATATGTTTATGCAGTGTTAACGTAATCCAATGCTTTATTTTTATTCTTTTGATGTTTCGATGTTTAGTATCACTTGTGTCTTAAAAGTTTCGATGGTGAATCAATTTGTTGTGACAGCCTACGAGGCTCTTTATTGTGTTAATATTTAATCAATTAAATTCTTAAAGGTTTACTTTATTTATTTTTATTCTTTTAATTTACTTCACTTTTTGTTTGGTTACGCCTAGAACCTGGATATTTAAGTAAATTAAGAGACGGCGTAACAATATATATATATATATATATATATATATATATTATTTTTTTCCATAACACATATTACTTTTTTTGTTCGTTCACCTTGTGTTAGATCAAGGCACCTTCACCTAGAGTTAGATAAAGCCACCTTCACCTAGTGTTAGATTAAGTCACCTTCACCTAGTGTTAGATTAAGTCACCTTCACCTGGTGTTAGATTAAGTCACCTTCACCTAGTGTTAGATTAAGTCAACTTCACCTGGTGTGACCAGAGAAGGCGTGGGAGGTGGTAGGGCGGCCATTGTCATCACTAATACTTTGCTGTCACTCAGAGTCGAGTGTGACGATCATCCAGCTATGATACAATTATGAGTTATTAAGGATGTCACCTACAGTAGGTTGGTGAGTTTTGAGGTGACTAAAGAGGCCGATACGGGATCCGCAGAGTCGTTCACAGATGTTGCACATGTGGAGGGCTCCATCTAGTGCGGGAGGGGCGGCAGCAGCGTCTTTCCGACGTTGGCACTTGTCTGCCTCGGTTTGCAGTCTGGCTAATTCGAAAGTATTGACACCTTCCCGTGTGGTGCTCCACCAAGCGTTACGGTGTGGAGTAATCGTCTCCCAGGTGAGGGGGACGATTTGACACTTTTTCAGGTTTGTCTTAAGACTATCCTTATACCTTTTCATTTGCCTGTGTGAATCAATTCATACTCATTAAACTTAACTTTTAGCACACACACACACACACACACACACACACACACACACACACACACACACCTATGGTTCTTCTACTGGTTGGTTCAGGTACAATAAAACACAACAAAGTCATGCATATTTTTATATTTAAACCATAAAATATAGTCCATGACAACATTCGATGAATCTGGGGAGGGGGGATACCAGTCCGAGATCAGAGATCAGACACCAGCGGTGTCAACACTCAGGCTGTCCTAAGCCTCACTACCCAGAGGAAGATGCAATAATCAATTAATTTCTTGTAGTGTTGACATTAATATAAATACAGTGTCTTGTGTACACTAACATATTCACTTACAGTACATGCATGAAATACAATATTAAATTTCCTACTATCTTATTTAGAAAAAAATTAATTATTGTGAATTCTCTTAAGTAAAGACTTTGGTGTGTGTGTATATATATATATGTACTGTATATATATATATATATATATATATATATATATATATATATATATATATATATATATATATATATATATATATACACACAGGGAGTTTAGGAAATACTCTTTATAATTCTGGGTTGTATTCCTGAGACATGCATAAGGATAAATGACTTCACGACCACAGTGTCAATACCCTATAGTTTGAGAGTTATAACACAAAATTGGGGACGGGAGGACTGCAACAAATCTCTGGACATAAAACATAAACTATCAAATCCTATATAAATTAAGTGGTGACATTTAAGAAGACGGCGGGAACTTTGAACATTTACTGTAAAATCAACATCAGATTGCATATGTAGATAAATATTGTACGAGCAACACTGAATATATCATTTATACTCCGTAGATTTGACCACATTCCCACCCAAACTATCATGTGTTTTAACTTTCAAACTATGGGGTATTGACACTATGGTTGTGAAGTCATTTATCCTTATGTATGTCTCATGAATACAACCCAGAATTATTAAGAGTATTTCCCAAACTTCCTGTATAATTATAACACTGAACACACGGGGACGGCCTCAGGAGCTTGCACATGAGATTGGCACATACACACACACACACACACACACATCTGCATTTTTTGCAGGTGTTGAGACAGCTCGTTGGGTGACCAGCCAGGGTATCTAGATTAGAAGATTTAGCTGGAGAGAGAGAGAGAGAGGGAACACTAAACAGCTTTACCCGGTAACAACACGGCTCATTACAATTGATTAAGTACACAACATGTCTCAGAGGAGTGCAATACCTCATGCGAATAGCCATATATACGTATGTATACATATATATGTATATTAGAACATAAAACAGATATACGTATTATGCTAGACATATATACATGGAGAGAAGAGGATTCAAATAATAAAACAATTTATATATAACAATATAGCATAAAAGTCATTTTGTGACAGTGACGCGGGTATAAAGATATGTAGGTTAGACATGTATGAAAAACAAGAGAAGAAAGAGATGAGGAATGAGAGGAGGAGCTGTATGTGAGCTGTTCCTTGTGAGTATACGGTGTACAGGTGTGTCGCTCATAGCACCTATAATAGAGTCAGTTCAGAGTACAAAGGTGTCAGGTAGGTGAGTAGTTTTACACGTGTTTGTGAGGAGTTCAGTCAGGTGGTTTGCTGTTCCCCGCTGTGAGGTGTTACAGGGTAGTTAGTCTTTGGTGTGTAGTGTCATAAATATTTCCATCTGTCCGGTTGATGCTGTTACTGGCCCGTGTGACGCGTTAAGGACAGGTCACAGGTGTTCCCGTTCCAGTGTCAGGCTTCTCATGTCCATTGTAGCACTGACTGTACACATGTGTCTGGCCACACCCAATGCAACTTTGACCACACCCACTGCCATACTAGTCACATCCATTGCAACTCTGGCAACGTCCATTGCAAGTTTTGGCCAAGTCCACTGCAACATTGGCCACACCCACTGCAATATTTGCCGTGTTCTCTACACCACTGGTTACATTAACAACAATGGCCACACTCACTCCTTGAGTTAACTGTACACTTGGCCTCTAAATCACAATCACTTTGAGTGGAATGTCAGGAGATAATTAATTCTAGGAGTCATTAAAGCTTCTTTGTTATCTATATAGACTAATCTGGAATCATTTATAGTTTTGTTAGGAGGTAACGAGTCACAGGTCTTGATCCCATCCTGAGGTCTTGGGGTGAGGTGCGTCTGTAGAGGTTTATGTTACGTCTTCTATGAGTCGAGGGTTATGACGGACTCTACGACCAAATAAGGCGGGGCGATTATTTTCTGCCTTGCCAGTGTTAACAACTCCCAGTAATATCATTTTGTTTATATATGATATCTTGGGTTAAATCAAATTAGGATAAGTAAAGTCGCGTGGTATTTGAACCTCCACGAAATTTTTCCAAGGGTTATAATTAACTTAACCCCATATCAAATTAGATTACGTGAGGTAGGGTGACTCTGGATTGTATTTGTTAAGACAGTCTTTCAAGTAATCCATTTTTGGACCTCCTAAACTGCCGCCAGACCCGCCAAGGCCGCCATCTTTCATCTTGATAATCTTACAAGACGTGCAAATCACAAGCACCAATACTGTCACCGGCACTGGCGTGGAACAACGATGGCAGCCGACTACAGCTGGTGGGCGTCTCTCCAGCGTGGTCGGGGCCACCTGACCATCATAGGTTGGTTGCGGCGTATTTGCTGCTGGAGCCTTCGATGCCTTCCTTGAGGCGGTCGATGGTGCGACGCAGGAGGGACATGAAAGCGTTTCGGATGTCTTTACTGAAGAGGAAGTACAGGATGAAGTTTATTCCGAAGTTGAGAAATTCCAGATTATTGGCAATGGCCCGGAAGATCTGGAAGTTGAGGTCGTTCCTCTTGTCATCACTAAAGGTGAGAGAGAGGATGGCGGCGGGGATGTTGGTGACGAAGAAGGCGACGATGATGGAGACAAGGAGTAGTACCAGTCGCCTTTCCATGTCGTGGCGGCGCTCACTCATACCTCGGGGCGCGGTCACGGTCGCCGCAGGAGCTGTAAAGTAGGGAGGGTGATGAGGGCGGCCTGGATAATTGTATCCCGACATTACTAGCTGAGAGGTGAAGGGATGGGACATTACACATTGTTAACATGTTAAATGCATTTGTAATTAATTATTGAATTTATAATATATAACTTTTAGTGATTGTGTGTGTGTGTGTTTGTTTGTGTGTTTGTTTGATTGTTTGTTTGTTTGTTTGTCTGTTTATATATTTGTCTATCTGTTCGCGATCTCCGTATACAGTTTTGAAGATAGAGAGCTGATATTTGGCTTGGAGATGCGCCTGCACCCCAGAAGTGTCACGAAGGTGGGATTTTGGGGGTTGATCCCGCAGAGGCCGACCTCCACTCACAAACGCATAACCCCCCTCTCTCTCTCTCTCTCTCAAAAAATAAATAAATAAATATATATACATATATATATATATATATATATATATATATATATATATATATATATATATATATATATATATATATATATATATATATATATATGTATGTATATATATATATGTATATATATATATGTATATATATATATACATATATATATATATTATATACAGGTACAGGGTATATATATATATATCACAGTGGGAGAGGTGGTGGGCCTCTGTAGGGTTCACCCCCGCCTAAAACTGATTGTGCAGTATAGATAGTGAATAAGAAGTAGTGTAGTTATTGTAATATAGAAGAGAACGTAATGAATGTAGTTTAGATGATTGTCTAGTGGAAGAATTATAGGTGTGTATACTCTGCTTGCTCAAATTTTGCAACTGAGGCCTTGGGGATAATTTGTAACAAGGCAGCTGATCGGTTGGCGGACGATTATACGAAGAGCCACTAGAGCTCTTTAGTATTTAATCTATTGTTTTTTATTCTAATATTTTAATGGAAAATAAGTTTTCTGTGTTGATCTTTGATAATTTCCGCAGTTCGGGAAGCAAAAATTGAGACGTGAAACGCTCTGTATACATAAACATCACAACAATAACACGAAAAATGTGAAGAAGTTTAGCGTGGTGGAGGATGTCGCTGAAATTTTTTAATTCTTTTTGTTCCTTTTATGATATTTATGTTACCAAAGCGTATCATGAAGTAATTTTTACTTGCCGATGTGGGGAAATTTATCAGAGGTCAAAACAGGAAAGTTAATATCCCTTAAAATACCAGAATAAAAAACGATAGATTAAAAACTAAAGAACTGCAGTGGTCCGTCCGTCAACAAACTGACCCTAGGCCTCAGTTGCAAAGTTTGAGTGAACAGACTGTAGTTAGGATCATAGGCTATGAGCTGCCCCTCAAAAACCAACTTGCTTCACTAAACATAAATACTGTACCTGAAACATTGATCATTGAAAGGCCAATAGTCTCCTTCTCTCCTTTGCTCCGAATTGTGGATTTAGCTGATGAGTTTCTCGTGCTGGCCATGTCACCGTCAGCAGACAGTGGTTTACAGCCGTTCCCGTTAAGTGAAGTATTATCCACTACTTTATAATCCATCCCATTAACGTATCCGTTGCTGTTAAGGATGAGGCCCTCCTGGTGCAAGGGCGATACATCACTGGACGAGGTGGAGGTGGCTGGATTGTTGACGGTATTGGAAAGTTTAGACACACAGGGACCATTGATAGCGACCGGTTCAATGGCAATAGATTCAGGCTCGACCTGGCCATTAGTAGGAGAGTGGTTGACCACAGTGATGTTGGCGTTGCCTTCGAAATAGGAGTGAGAGGGGATGGCCGACACCTCACAACTCATGCCTTGGGAGAGCAGGAGACGTCGTCGGCTGATACGTTTGAACTCGATGATGATCCAGGTGTTGAGGACTGCTAGCAGGACAGCCGGGGCGAACCTGGAGAGCAACAGTGAGATATACAAACACTGTAACTGAGCAGGACCATTCCTATGTTACATATGAAAAGCAAAAACTGATTGATAACTTCACCATTTTTGTAGATAAATGAGTCAAACTGTGCGTGAAATATAATAGTTTCATAATGGACTTATTTATCTCTTATTATTATGGGACGAGTCCAGTTATACATGAGATACATGAGATGTGGCATACCTTATTACAGAATAAAACTACACAAATCCATCACCCACCTGACGCAGATCTCTAACAGGTACTCGTACACCATGAACCACTGCGTCGATACCACCCTCAGGTTCCCCTCTATCAGGAACCTGTCAGGGGAACCGCTGGCCGGCACAACCATCTTGTAGAAGCCCATGGGGATATAAATGATGAAAGCGATCACGAAGGAGAGGGCGATCCTGACGGAGGCGACGTAGTGGCTGTGGAGATTGCGATACTTGCGAGGGTAGCACACGGCCACGAACCTGTCGATGCTCAATCCCACGACGATGTATACACTGGAGGCGATAAGTGCGTTCCCAACAGGCACCTGAGGAAGTAGGAGGTGACTCAGTGTCGTGGTAGAGACAGGTGATGCATTAAGGATTGACGGAAGAGTGACAGGTGAAGGTTAGGAGGGAAATTGATGATGAGATCCTTTCAATATTTACTTTACCTTTCACCAACCACACTGAGGCATATCCTGGGTCAACAATTGGAAATCCCCTCAGCACATATTACCTTCCCCATCCCTATACAACATCGGTAGGAATTCTCACCAAACTCTGTCCCCTTCAATTTCTGTTCTCTTACTGCGTCCCCACTGCTTCTCACGCACCACACGCCACGATAATCTATTTGCAATACGTGTTCGGTCGGCTCCTGGACCAAAGAGGATACAGTAATTGTTTTCATCGGCTTATTCGTGTTTGTTTATCAGTCAGGTTCTCGTGTTACCCCGAGCTTCCCACACGCAACTCTCTTACCTCATCTCTAATATAATCCTTGTACCCGAGCCCTCACATATTCCTTATTTCAAAGTCAACCTCGGCAACTCCAATCTCTGCCACCTCCAACCCAACCTCTCACACCCGGCACCAACCAGTCGCCACCACCCACGCTCATCCCCTACCTCGCCATCTCCAACACCAGCGTATAAAAGGAATACAAGAATCGTGTCCATCTGCCCTCCAAAAGACAGTGGTCCTCAGGGGAGAGAAAATACATCAATAACAGATCACTTGAGGAGAGAGCCTCAAGGCCGCGGCGGATTTCTCAGGGAGACCCAGAGAGATAGTCTCTTGCAGTGTCATCTCTTAATTTATTTTATCCTTTAACTGAATTATATTACAAATGAACGAAATGTCAGCTCCAGCGCCCAAGTGCAGAAGTATTAGCCAAGAAAGATGATACCGCAGCAAACAGCGAGGGAAAAACGGAACAGTTTTGTAGCTTGAGGCAAGAGACCAACATCTGCGCTCCGTTTTCCATCGCCTCTCGCCCCACCCTCCAGTGCAGGATTGTGGCAGATCTGCGGGCCGTGACGTGTCGAGGCTTCCAGGATTTGTGCTCTCACCTCCTTCTTCCAGCTATGTTGAGAAGTTGGTGAGGAAATGCACACACACACACACACACACACACACACATCATTTGAAGTAGCAAAACGCCTGGACAAACTAAAATTAAAACGCTCTACCACCCCCATTGACTTATCAATGAAACTCTTCAAGATGTTCTCCCCGGAGCTTGCTAAACCCCTATGCTCCATCATCAATGCTTCTCTCAGTCAAGCCAGATGCCCAGCTGACTGGAAGACCTCTTATGTATCACCAGTGCCCAAGTCAACCAGCCCACAATCCTTAAATCAGCTACGACCTATTGCAATCATCCCAATACCCAGCCTAATCTGTGAAAGTTTTGTGTTCGACTGGGCTTATGCTGATATTGCAGGAGTCGTAGACCCTCAGCAAATTGGCAATATGAAAACTTCCTCCACCACTCACTGTCTTGTCAGCTTTCTCGATTACATATACCGCCATCTCGAGAAACGAAAAACGTCTGCAGCTGTCGCCTTCATTGACTTCACTAAAGCATTCGACCTAGTCGACCACAATATAATCATCAACAAAGCTATTGACCTCGGGCTTCGGAGAAGTCTTATACCATGGCTTACAGACTTCCTCAGTGACCGACGCCAAGCTGTACGCTTCAGAGGGGCTGTCTCCACCTTTCAGTCACTCACCTCTGGAGTCCCCCAAGGCACCAAGATGGGACCACTCTGCTTCCTTATGCTCATCAATGATGCCCTAAGAGAAACCCCTGCTCGCTGGAAATATGTCGACGACTCCACCATTGGGATCAGCGTCAACAATTCTGCTCCCGACTATACCGCCCTTCAGGATTTATTGAACAGTCTCCAAAACTGGGCCACCAACAACCACGTCACCATCAACCATACCAAGACCATGGTTATGCACATCAACCTCTCCTCCGACATTGTCCCACCTCCTTCCATTACTTTAGGTCCTAACACACTCCAGGTTGTAGATTCCACGAAGCTCCTCGGCGTCACCATAGACAACAAACTAAATTGGAAACCACACGTCAGTGGAGTTGTCAAATCCTCCAGTTTCCGTCTCCACCTCCTCCGCCGACTCAAGTCCCTCGTAGTTCCTGCACCCGAGCTCCTCAGTGTTTACTCAACATTCATACTTCCCAAGCTCACATATGCCTCCCCTACCTGGTCTTCCTCCCTAAATGCCACACAACGTAAACACCTAGAAAAGTGCAAAAGAGGGCAAGCAAGATTATTCTCTCCCCTTCCTACTCCACATATCAAGAAGCGCTCAACACACTGACCTTTTCGACTCTCACTGACCATCACCACGACCTCATCTGCAAATTTGATAAGAAGCTTCTGCACCATCCTCGACACCGGCTCCTACTACCACCTGAGATCCCTAGCCCGAGAATTGCTGTTCGACACCACAACCGCATCCAGCCCATACGTGCACGAACTGATCGCTATAAGAACAGCTCAGTCCCAACCATTGTAAAAATTATCAATAACTTGTAATAAACCAGTGTATCCACTCCCAGTAAATACTACTTCTTGCACTGTCACTATGTTGAAATGCCCTGTAATTTGAGCTTTTCCCCATCTAGTTATTATATATCTTATTTATATCACTTATGTTATTTGTATATTATTTTTAATTCGAAACCCATTCCCCAATTATGTAACTGTATATTTTCAGCCTTCTGGCTGCCAAGCTCTTTCAATAAACCGTTAATTATTATTATTATTATTATTATTATATACACACACGCGCGCGCTCGTGCTCGGACGCCCGGGTAAGCACGCACGCACACACACAAACACACAAAACCACGCACGCCTGCAGTCATAAACATACAGATATACGCAAAAAGGTTAATACTGATATACTTTAAGTATCTCGTTACACTATTTATCTTGAATGAGCATTATATGATCTCAAGCGACCTCTGGTGGTAACATGGGGTGGAGCTGAGCCCTCACTGAGCCTTACCTCTATGTGGGCAAAGTAGAGGGCAGCGGCGTAGGGGACAGGTGTGGCCTGGGAGTGTAAAGTGAAGGGTAGCAGCACCACACACACCAGCAGGTTAGCCACCGCCAGCCACTTGAGGTATCTGTAACATAATAGTCAGGTTAGGTTTGGTTAAGTTACGTTACGTTACATTGTGTTAAGTTAGGTTATGTTACTTTTGATAATGTTATGTTAGGTTACGTTACTTTAGATAATGTTATGTTAGGTTACGTTTTGTTAGATTATGTTGTTAGATTATATTACATTACATTATGTTAAATTACGTTACCTCTATATTATGTTATGTTAGGTTACGTTACGTTAGATTAGGTTAGGTTAACACACAAAAAGATAGGAAGTTAGGAATTGAACACTCAACACTAAAAACAAAGTGAGAGATGGTTAAGGAGATGAGAGTTAATGTGTCTGCACCAAGTCTTTGTAACAGAGAGAGAGACGCCTTGGTCGAGGGTTGGGGAGGGATGATCTGCCAGGCTTCAGTTGACACCGCCTCGCTTAGGTAGATCCTCTCGTCGCTCCCGAAAGATTGGGTCGCCTCCTATTGTGGCTTCTCTTGTTTTCACCGTGAAATCACAGACAGCTCCTCCTCCTCACCATCACCACTACCAGCACCATCACCACTACCAGCACCATCACCACTACCATCACCTCTACCATCACCAGTAGCATCACCATTACTATTACTACTACCACCACTACCGCCACCACCACTACTATTACCACCACCACCATCACTACCACCATTACTACCACCACTATTACTGCTAGTCTACTTTCATCATTACGTAACACCACAACCACCACCACTACTACTACTACTAATAATAATAATAATGGAAGCCCCTCGAAATCGAGGATGGCCGGCCCAAGGGCCTCCTAGGCGTGAATTTGTTAAGGTGCAGAAGCTGTCGCCAACACAACAACCACACCCCAAGTTAACGAGCTGCATGACCCAGTGTCAAGGAATAGTCCGAGAAGACTGGACAACTCGCCAACTGCACTGGCTAACCTTTACCCCGGAATACGATCCGCAAATCGATTAACATCCAGGTTCCCAATTACTGTTGGGTAGACAGAGGCAAATGGCGTAAAGAAACTTGCCCATAGTTTCACCCTGCCCGGGGATCGAACTCGGGTCCGCTCGCTTGCGAGCCAAGAATCACCATCACCAGTTACATCACCATTACCATTACTACCACCACCACTACCGCCACCACCACTACTACCACCACCACCACTACCACCACCATCACTACCACCACCCACGAGGGAAAGATCAATTCGTTTCCACCACACCGTCAGAAGACTTATACAGTCAGGGTCCTATTGAACAAAATTTTACCTGGTTACAGTGACGTGAGCCAGAAGACCTTCATGTTGGGGGGAGCGTGTTGGAGTGACTTGTTACATCATATTTTTTTTTTCAGGATAAAATGTGGTTATGTATTCAAGTGTCCCAACGACGCCAAGAAAATATTGAACATTGGAGTAATAATTTTCTGGTAACTTATTAGCATTCTTCTGGTGGTGAGTTAGACCTGTCTTGGCTGGACCATCTCAGGGCAGATCCACCACGACAAACGAACGCGAAAAAAAACCCATTACATTTATAACATTTCGTAGAGACTATTATGTCGCGGCTCGTCCACAAGATCTTCCGCATTACCACCATTCCATAAGAGAAAGTGAATCTTTAAATGACATCCGTTCCACGAAGCGGGAGAAAAGGCGCCACGTTGTCACCGTTTCGTGTGGGCCGGGAAGACCTCTACTTGTATTAGATGAAATTGGATTCGTTTAGCTTCACTGATTTTCAATATCTTGAAAAGGAGGAGAGGCGCTGGGGGAGGGAGGGGGTGAGGTGAGTGAGGGGTTAAGGAAAGTGTGTTAAGCGGTCAGAGTAGGAGGGGGCTGTGGGGAGGATCACAGGTAAGGAGGTGCGTGAGATAGAAGGGAGGTGAGAGGAGATGTAAGGAAGTGTGGCAAGAGAAGGAGGGGTGAGGGGAGATGTGGAGGTGCGTGAGATAGAAAGGGGGGGTGAGAGGGAGATGTAAGGAAGTGTGGCAAAGAGAAGGAGGTGAGAGGGAGATGTAAGAAGTGTGAGAAGAAGGAGGGGTGAGAGGGAGATGTAAGGAAGTGTGGCAAAGAGAAGGAGGGGTGAGAGGGAGATGTAAGGAGGTGCGTGAGATAGAAGGGGGGGTGAGAGGGAGATGTAAGGAGGTGCGTGAGATAGAAGGGGGTGAGAGGGAGATGTGGCAAGTGTGGGAAGTGTGGCAGAGAAGGAGGGGTGAGAGGGAGATGTAAGCAGGAAGTGTGGCAAAGAGGAAGGAGGTGAGAGGAGATGTAAGGAAGTGTGGCAAAGAGAAGGAGGGGTGAGAGGGAGATGTAAAGAAGTGTGGCAAAGAGAAGGAGGGGTAAGAGGGAGATGTAAGGAAGTGTGGCAGAGAGAAGGAGGGGTGAGAGGGAGATGTAAGGAAGTGTGGCAAAGAGAAGAAGGGGTGAGAGGGAGATGTAAGGAAGTGTGGCAAAGAGAAGGGGGGGGGGAGGGTATTAGGGGTAGAGAGAAGGGCCCCTGAGAGAATTTACGAGAAGGTGGGGCCCTTGGGGGAGGAGGGGCCCCTAAGAGATATAATTTACCTGAAGGTGGGGCCCCTGAGGGAGGGTCGGGTCAGCACCACCAGGTTAAGGACATTGGTCAGGATGCCGAAGCTGATGATGACAGGAGCTACGACGCTGTAGGCGATGTGTCCCATGTACTGAATCTCCGGGCTCATGGTCTCCTCCAGCACGCCCTCTACCACGCCTTCACGACTCACGCCCACCACGTCCATGCTCACGCCCCCTGAGCCTTCCACGCCTTCCACGCCCTCTGCTGCCACCGTCGACGCACCCTCCTGGCTGACGTTGGTCATGGTCTGTTGGGGAGAGGGAAGGAGGTGTGTGTAAACAAATGCGTATATTGGGGTAAGGTTGACAGATATTCGTTCCGAAAGACGGATAGGCGACTTTCTACCCCAACTCATTCTCTCTCTCAGTCTTATTTTCTCTCTCTCTTGTCTCTCCCTATCTCCCTTTTTCTTACTCACTCACTCACTCACTCACTTACACTACTACTACTACTACTTTGCTGTCACTCGGAATCGAGTATGACGACCATCCAGCTATGATACAATGATATTAGTTATTAAGGATGTCTGTCACCTTCGTTGGTGCGCTCTGGGGTGACTAAAGAGGCCGATACGGGACTGGCAGGGTCGTTCACAGATGTTGCACAGGTGGAGGGCTACACCTAGTGCGGGAGGGGCGGCAGCAGCGTCTTTTCGGCGTTGGCGCTTGTCTGTCTCGGTTGGCAGTCGGGCTAATTCGATAGTATTGACACCTTCTCGTGTGGTGATCCTCCAAGTGTTACGGTGTGGAGTGATCGTTCCCAGGTGAGGGGGGACTATTTGCCATTTTTTCAGGTTTGTCTAAAGACTATCCTTATACCTTTTTAGTTGCCCGCCAGCGTTACGTTTACTATTTGTTAGGTGACTGTAAAGTAGCTACTTTGGCAGTCTACTCTCTTCCATGCGGGTAACAAGGCCAGTCCAATGTTCATAGGTAATAGTAGCCTCGATGTTCCTACAGTTGGTGTCAGCGAGACTGGCATTTGTTCTCTTGTCTTCCCAGCGAACTTGGAGGATGGAACGTAGACTACGTTGGTGAAAGTTTTCAAGTGCCTTGAGGTGCCTCTTGTATGTGACCCATGTCTCACTGCCGTATAACAGGGTGGGAAGGACCACTGTTCTATACAAGTGCAACTTTGCAGATAATTTCAGCTCCCTACAGCTGAACACACGGGTACGGAGTCTGCCAAAGACTTGAGATGCACATTTGATCCGATGTTGAATCTCTTCATCAATATCCGCGTTGGTGGACAAGTGGGAGCCGAGATACTGAAAGGCCAAAAAGTGCATACGCTTCTGCGTAAGTGTTCAGGATCTCGTGTAAGTCGTGTTCAGTGTGAGCGACAAAGGTGAGGTAGTCTGCATACTGAAGTTCAGTAATGGAAGCTGCTGACACCTTTGTTCCTGTCTGCAGTCGTCTTATGTTGAAAAGACCCTTCATTCGGTACTGAATGTCCACCTCGCCGACTAAATTGGCACTGGTACTAGTAAGGAAGGCAGCCAAGAAAATGGAAACGAGAGTTGGAGCTAGTACACATCCTTGTTTTACCTCCGTTTGGATGGGGAAGACCGCAAACAGGGTGCCATTGTGCAGGACACTGCCGTTCATGCCATCGTGGAGTTGCCTCATAATGGCAATGAATTTTGGTGGTGCAGCCAAAACGGCTGAGGGTCCGCCAGAGGCTTCCCTGTTGACCAAGTCCAAAGCCTTGGTTAGGTCGATGAAAGCCATGTACAGGTCACGACGCTGTTCTCGGTACCTTTCCTGTATCTGGCGGGCAGCAAAGATCATGTCAGTGGTGCCACGTGATGGTCTAAAGCCACATTGAGATTTTGGCAGGAAGTTTTTCGCTACGGACAGCAACAAGATCCCACGGTAGTTGCCACAGACTGACCGGTCTCCCGTGTTCTTATAAATATTAACGACGGAGGCGTCTTTGAGAGCGTGTGTGATTTCCTCCTTTTCCCATGTATTCTCCAGGAGAGAGTGGAGACGGCAGGTAAGTAGAGGTCCTCCTATTTTATACACCTCGGCTGCGATTCCATCAGGCCCTGAGGCTTTGTTAATTTTCATCTGTTTGATGGCAGTAGCTACCTCATCCAGGGATGGAGGTTAGCTGAGATGGGTCAGCTCTGGATGCTGAGGGACCTGCTGGGTGTCCTCCTCGGTGTTACGGTTGAGCAGCGAATGGTAGTGCTCTTTCCAGCACTGAAGGATGCCTTCTTCGTCTTTAATTGCGGAGTTACCGTCAGATGAGCAAGTTTTAGCGTTTCACATGCTTTATTTTTAAACCAGTCGTTCTTTAGTTTGCGAAGTTCGCGCTGAGCCGCCGCATTCTTCTTGCGGAAGGTATCAGCTTTGGTCCGAGACTGAGAGTTGTTCAGCCAGTCAGTTAAAGCAGCACGTTTATCATCGATGAGTATATTGATTTCAGGGTTATTTTCATAAATCCAGTCCTGGTGTATTCTTTCGATCTGGCCCAGGGTCTCACACACACACACACACACACACACTATATCGCCCTTCTTACGTGTATGCCTCATCGTTCACAAACAATAAGGTTATTATGTCTGGAGGCTGGCAGGTAAGTGGTTGTGTCATAGTCTCCTCTCTCCTGGGGGACCCGAGGCCCTATAGGGTGACTGAGGAAGAACGTGTTGAGATACCCAGAGAAGAATGTCCCTAGAGAAGAAGTTATTTAGAAAGAAATGTCTTAAATTAGTCAGAGAAGAAGTACCCCAAAAAATAAAAGGGAAAAAGGAACGTATTGAAGTACCCAGAGACAAGGACTTTTAATTAAGGTGAAGTAAAGTTGGTCCCACAAAGACAGTGTGGACGTAGGACACTTTATAGTGAGCCGCAGGTAGAGGAGGAGACAGGGTGGCCGGTACTGCACTCGACCACCTTCACCTCCCCAACTGTATAACAAGGCATCCCCATTTCACTGTTAAGGATGCCCCATGTTCGACCCATCGACCTTTAGGGCAGGAAATAACTGCTCTATCCACTCTGGCATTTCCTTCATAAGTTCCCGATAACAAGACTCAATTCACAAAATGTTTGTTTTTTATAACAAGATTTTCCAAGTTTCAAAGAAAAACGATTTTCAATGAAACTTCAGCGTATCGTCGACGGTTGGGGAGGGAAGGTGATGAAGGGAGGGAAGGGAGGGAGGGAGGGAGCAAGGAAGGGAGAGAACGAAGGAGGGAGAGAAGGATGAAGTGAGTGAGTGAGTGAGTGAGTGGATGAATGAGTAAGTTAGGGTGGGAGAGTGTAAGTGAGGAAGGGAGGGGTGAATGGAGGGAGGGACAAGAATTTAGACATTGTATACTGAACCTCCTACAGCTGGCAAGAGGCCTTCGTCTGGTCCACCCACGTCGTGTTGTTCCAAATATATTCAGGGGTCGCCGCCTCACCACCCGACCAGGGACGCTTGTATAAGATTCTCCTATAACCTTCAGTGTTGTTTTATTTGGTGTAGCGGAGGTGGCGGTGGGAGGTGGAGGGGAGGTAGAGGGAGGTGGAGGGGAGGTAGAGGGAGGTGTAGCGGAGGTAGAGGGATGTGGAGGGAGGCGGTGGGAGGTGGAGGGAGTCGGTGAAGGGAGGTGAAAGGAAACGGAGACATTTTCGAGTTTAGAATGTATATGAATTTACATGTTGTCTCAGGAATCGAATAGGAATGTTTGTTTTTTATCGAGGTAGTTCAGAGTGATATAGTAGTAGTAGTAGTAGTAGTAGTAGTAGTAGTAGTAGTAGTAGTAGTAGTAGTAGTAATCGTAGTAGTAGTCGTAGTAGTATAAGGTGTGGCTATTGGGGGAGGCTGGAGGCCACGTTTAAAAAAAAAAGTAGTCGTAGTAGTAGTAGTAGTAGTAGTATAAGAACAACAATAACAACAATTACTACTACTGCTATAAATTTTACTGCTACCACAAGAGAGAGAGAGAGAGAGAGAGAGAGAGAGAGAGAGAGAGAGAGAGAGAGATCTAAGATTACTTCAGAGGGATCCAATGCCACAAAGACTTCATATTAGCGTCCTGAAAAAGAGAGGATCTCAGAGTAGGAAGAGGATCAGGGTGGATTACGATAACCTTTGATGGCGTCAACAATGGTGGAGAGAGTTGGATTATTTAGAGAACTTACTGTGTTGTTGATCAGCATGTGAATATATTATTTCGTTTTATTTGTTTTGATTGTGTGTCTGGTTTTGTCTGTTTCTGCCTTATTTAATCTGTTTCTCAGTCGTTTTTTTTCCTATTTTTCTTGTTTCTGTTAACAGTCAAGACAACAGTAAACGGGTCGTTTCCTTTGCTTCTGTTAACAGACTACAGTATGATAACTTATGTGCCATTATTAACCTATCGTATGAGGTCTCTGTTATTGCTGTTAACAAACGGCGCCGGGCCTCTACAGCTACCGTTAAAAGACAGAATAACAGTATGGAATGTATGTTGCCATTTCCACCAGACAACCACTAGTGTGGAATCACTCATTACCAGTTAGTAGAGGCGTCCGTGGCCACTGTTCCTGCACGGACAAACAATGAGCACAGCCACACTCAACACACTAGTGCTATTGACTCAATTATTGTCAAGTCTCTCACTAAACACAGCCGTTGTGTGTGTGTGTGTGTGTGGTGTGTGTGTGTGTGTGGTGTGTGTGTGTGTGGTGTGTGTGTGTGTTTTTGTGTGTGTGTGTGTGTGTGTGAGTGTGTGTGTGTGTGTGTGTTTTTGTGTGTGCGTGTGTGTGTGTTCACCTCAAAATGTGAAAATAAAAATTCTAGTTTATAATATGTAAATTTGGTTTCGCCTGGGAATACGTAAAAGAGAAGACTGTTATTATATTTACGGTCAGCGGCCAGGAGAATCCCAAAGGAGCCTCCAAAACCCCAAAGAAGCCCCCAAAGCCCCAAAGAAGCCCCAAGAACCCCAGAGGAGCCCAAGAACCAGAAATGAGCCCCAAGAACCCCAAAGGAACTCCAAGAACCACAAACGAGCCTCAAGAACCCCAAAGGAGCCCTCAAACCCCAAAGGAACCCCAAAACCCCAAAGGAGCCCAAGAACCCCAAAGAAGCCCCCAAAACCCCAAAGGAGCCCCAAAAACCCCAAAGAAGCCCCCAAAACCCCACAGGAATCCCACAGAAGCCCCAAGAATCCCAAAGGAGCCCCAAGAACCCAACAGGGACCCTATGAACCCTACAGGAATCCCACATGAGCCACAGAAATTCTACAGGAAACTCGTATCAAGTTACCACCAATAATAGACCTGAACACGAGAGGCGGAGACGAGTGGGTCCAGCAAACTTGAAGAGAAAAAACAAACAAATAGACAAATAAACAAATACAAAAATAAGTAAATAAACATCGGGGAATTGAACATAAGTTTATGGGTTTTTTTTTAAATGTTTAATTAATTTTGATATTTTAACTTAGGAGGGAAAAGGTAAGACGGATTCTTAACACATCGTAAGAGTTAAGGAATCGTTTCTGCGAGTTAAGATTGAGTTAAGGTTATGTTTATCCGTGTATAGGTGTATATTGTATGTGTAGTGTGTATGAATATGTATATAATGTATGAAATGTGTAAGTATACAAGTGAGTAAGTGAACACAGATTTGCATAAGGGGATATGATAGTGTATGAGTGTATGTAGTATACGATGTATGATCTGTGTATGAAATAAAAAATGTATAATCAGTGAATGAAGTAGTGTACCCTGTGTATGAGGCATGGCAAGTGTATGACGTATGATCAGTGTATGATGTATAAGTGTATGATGTATGCTAAGTGTATGGAGATAAATCAGTCTCACTCAGCTGAGGAAGGAGACAAGAGGCTCCCACATGCTACCTCCTCCATCATCGTCGCCGTCAGGAGAATAAGTAGACGCAGGTGGAAGCTGACACACGACCCGAGGTTTTGACACTAACACCCTTGGTTAGATTAGGTTAGGATAGGTGTAGGTTAGGTTAGGTTAAGGATGGGTCTTGGTAGGTTAGGTCAGATTAGGTTGTGGATGGGTTTTCGTTAGGTTAGGTTTGGTTAGGTTGTGGATGGGTCTAGGTTAAGCTAGGTTAGGTTAGGGGAGGTTGAGGATTGGTCTTGGTTAGGACAGGTTGTGGATGTGATATGGGTTAGTTAGGATAGGTTAGGGGAGGATCAGGTTTAGGGTAGGTTAGGGTAAGGGTAAGGTAAAGGGTAGGTCAGATTAAGCAATTGTTTGGGATACAGTAGGTTAGATTAACTGGTTAATTTTGGTGTAGGTTAGATTAAATATTTTGAGTCTAGATTACATTAGGTAAGCGTACGTTCCGGATTCGGGTTTGGTTTTAGTTCAGGACCGAATCCGGGTTCCAAATACAGAGTTCTTGAATCCCCTTGTACCTCAGGCCACCTCCTCCATGATGCATTTCTCAGTACTTACGACCAAACTCTGAAAAAGTTCTGGATGGATAAATCACTGGTGAGGGACGATCCTGTTGTGTTATTGGTCAGCCTAGCGGATTACACCGAGAGAGAGAGAGAGTAATCTAGACTAATAAGGGTGGTTCTATATATAGCGCCTGTCTCTCAGTCTCTCCTCATCTTTACCCTATAAAAAAAATTCCTTTCCCAGAAAAAGTCTCCTGTCCTCCTTCATGTCTCTCTCATTTTCCTATCTCCTCTTTATTCTCTTCTTCTTCTCATACCCTTCATTTATCAATCTCTCGTTTCCTATATCATCCTCTTCTTCTCCACCTTTATCTTTCTCCTCCTCTCTTTTCCTTCCCCTCTCTCTCTCTATCTTTCTATCTATCTATCTATCTATCTATCTATCTATCTATCTATCTATCTATCTATCTTTCTATGTTTATTCATATACAAATATTCATATTTTTGCTCACGTTGCTTCGAGTTGGTTTCACTAAATTAATCATGGTATTTGGTATACAGCGCTGGTTGTTGTCCTGAGGGAATCTCGCTCAGATTACTACTGAAGGCTAGAATAAATGTGTGGTGTAGTTTGCCTTGTTATTTGTGGTGTTTGGTTAGGTTGAGAGTAGTTGGATTGGGTTGGTTTGGTTGGGTTGGGTTGGGTGTGGTTGGGTTGGGTTGGGTTGGGTTGGGTTGGATTGGGTTGGGTTGGGTTGGGTTGGGTTTGGTTAGGGTGATGTTATTGTTGTTGTTGATGGCTTTATTAGTCTTGCTGTTGATGATGTTGTTATTGATGATGATGTTATTATTGTTGTTGGTGGTAATATAAGTGCTTCAGCTCCCAGGGTTATTACGCGCTGAGCACAAGTTTCGGTGTCTTATCGTCAACAACTTCTGCAGGCAAGAAGACTTCGGGAAATCCACGTATTATATATGAGTAATTTAAAGATAATCTACAATTTTACTAACCGGCTCCTTCATGCGGGTGGGACAACAAATACTTACTATGAAAACCAAATTAGCATTTACAAAATATATTATATGTTAGCCCCAGTTTATCGACTTGATCAACACTCGTATGTTCTTCCTATAGAGGGCGTCACTACTGGCACAATGTAGGCGATGATTCATATCCTACTGTAGCATTCTGTGTTACTGAAGGCGAAAGAAAATGTCAGACGCTGTTTACTGCCAGTGCTGACGCTGTTATTGACGCTACATTCATTACGCTATCAACAACATCTGAGCCCCAGGCACCTCTCCTTTACCCTTACGTCCAGGGGTCCAATTAAGGCTGTCAGGCGCACGACCTTCACATTCTTGGTCTGCTATACATCTTATAATGTACACCACAACCTCACACCCACGACGTCCTCACAGCGACGACAACCCCGATCCTCCCTCAACAACACAGTACAGTCCTCACATCCTGTCTGGTCCCCGACTTTAACAGCACAGACCAACACCCGCCTGTCTCCTCTCCCAAGTTCTTGAAATACGCTACGAAACTCACGAGAAGAAAGAAAAAAACGCTCTTACCCAACAATTACTCTCAGAACCCTCCAGTGAAGATACAGGACTCTTTGATTACGTCACATGTTACTGGGGGTGACACATGACCTTGGAGAGCCATCGTAACCTTGAGTATATCTTCCCCGCTGGCCAGGGACACATCTCCGTCAAAAGGACCACTGGACGCCTTAACAATACCCCACATATGTTTATGTCTGAAGGGGTTCGTGTTCGTCGCCTCTCGTCGTCAGGGTGAAGTATCTTATAGAGCCTCTGTTTCTTCCCTTTAAGACGCCATCACCCTATAGGAAATCTTCTCGCATGTAAATTATATTATCTGGACACTTACCATGGAGTGTTATGGAGGTCCAGCGTATTCTCTCTCTCTCTCTCTCTCTCTCTCTCTCTCTCTCTCTCTCTCTCTCTCCATTCGTGAGATAATTCATGGCTCTATCCCTCATCTTTCCCATCTGCCTGGCCCTCCTCCATCACCCTTCTTCCCTTACCCATTCCAACCACCTCCCATCCTCTATATCTACCCACAACTTAACCCAACATTCATTCCCACTGCTCTCTCTCTCTCTCTCTCTCTCTCTCTCTCTCTCTCTCTCTCTCGCTCTCTCGCTCTTTCTCACTGTCTCTTTCTTCCCAGACCGCCTAAGAATAACCAAAAATAGACGGTATATTACTTAAGAGACTTTGTTCTATTATCGTCATTGTCGTGGTCGTTGTTGTTGTTAGACCAGAGACACGGGATGATGATGGGGGGAGGGGGGGGGTAAGTAGGCATTATGTCTAAGGGGAATACTACTCACGTTTCACTAATACCCCCGATGAGAGAGAGAGAGAGAGAGGCTGCCTTTACCTGACATACAATAATAACGAAAACATAAGTAAAATATTAATCATTCCGTCAAACACCATCCGTTCAGCACTGCCTCTGTGTACACCTGTTGTATTGGTAATATTTTACGATAAAGTTCAGCTGCTTGCTTGTCCAGGTCGTAAACGTAATCCCAATTCTTTTTGGTGATATTGTCCTATAGTGTGTGTGTAGGTAATAGGTAGTAAAGTAGGCAGCTATCAAACAGGGAGGTACTACCGCCTGGGAATATATTGGAAGCATAATGCGCTGCCTAATGCTAGACCCTGCAGCCATGTGACATCACAAAAATTGTGACCAGGTCCCAGGTTTCTCATCTGACTTTCTGCCTCACTTACACACAATTGCAGGGTCTCAATTGTTTCTCTTACTATGACAACACAACGTATATATCATTTCTCACTCTTAGTTTTTTTTTCCATTTCTATACTTTTTTTTTTCCTTAATTATTTTTTTCGCCTCCAAGCCCCGATGTGGGCCATCAACCTGAGCATGGGTTGGCTATTTCCCGTAAAAACAATGATCCATTGTTTGCGTGTCCAGATGGTTGAGCGTATGTCCAATTGCATGTGCCTACGTCGCCTTATAATATGTATACATTTCCAGTTACCATTCATCAATAGGCCTACTCTGACATCTTCAGGACCAAACATTAGGCTATAATATGTCCTACTTAATGTAAACACCAATATTCACTTCAATATTTTACCTTCCTCAGACGTAAAAAACAAAAAAAAAAAACACTCGCGGTCGAGACATCAAATTTACATAAAATTCAAATTATCTCCGACCGATAAAAAGAGAAGAAAAAATGTTCCCAGGAAAGAATTTCTACTGGGGAAGGAATTCTGATCAGTTTAGTAGAGATAAGAAAAGTAAAATTGACGAGGATATTCGCTAGGTTCGTCCGTGTCACCCAAGTTACGTAAGGGCTATAACTTTTCTATAGCTTCCCCTTTGAAATGAAAAAAGAAAATGGATGTGATTCACGCTTTTTTTTCTTCATATTAATAATTAAGCTTCAATACGAACTACTGTTACTCTATATATTATATTACTATATTATGTATTATTCTGTTTATGAAAATAGATTATCTTCACATTTTCTCTAGACTTTAACGATAAACTTTAAGGCTATCTTACTGTCTCGCTCTATTTGCTACGGTAAAGGAGATAATTTGCAACGCTGGTCTCTATTTACATTATTGTACCTCTATTGACTGTGATTACTCCATTTAATGTGTACTTGCTCTAGTTACTCTATTTGGGTTCTAATTATCGTCTCTTTACCACCAAATTAACCATAATGAGGGTTAATGTACCTTTGTAACACAGGTTATATGGGACAGTAGTTTGACACACCGCAGAGAACACTCTCGCTCCCTCAATACTCCTTCTATTGATTA